TACAAGACAGTGACTCGCCGGTGGCCTCACTTCTCTGAAAGACAGTGAAGGAATCCAGTCTCTTTGGGGAAGAAACAGGAAACCAGCCCTGAAATAACTGACCAGCGGCGCCCTTTGACCCTGACCCCCATCTTGTGAACCATGACTTTCTCTCTCAAGGCCTGTTCTCAGCCTGAGAACATCTTAGGAGGCCTGACTCTAGCTTTTCTGAGTCATTCAGCCTCCACCAAAGTCAGGACCATTGCTCTGTATTCTCCCCTTTACATGGAGCCTCCTACCTTGGCTTTCATCCTTATCATAGAACTTGACAAAGACTGGGAGATTTTCCCATACCCCGGAGTCCAGGCTGGTGTCTGGTGTTTTTGCTGCTTCTTTTCAAACCTGTTGTGCTGTTCATTCTCAGGATGGTCACATGATGCTGCTTCAGTGGCCCATGAAGGTAACACTAAGTGTGAGTTTTCTGATTCTTCCTCCTCAGACCCTCCAAAGACACACGTGACCCACCACCCCATCTCTGACCGTGAGGTCACCCTGAGGTGCTGGGCCCTGGGCTTCTACCCTAAGGAGATCTCACTGACCTGGCAGCGTGATGGGGAGGATCAGACCCAGGACATGGAGCTTGTGGAGACCAGGCCTTCAGGGGACGGAACCTTCCAGAAGTGGGTGGCCCTGGTGGTGCCTTCTGGAGAGGAGCAGAGATACACGTGCCATGTGCAGCACGAGGGGCTCCAGGAGCCCCTCACCCTGAGATGGGGTAAGGAGGGACACGTGGGGTGGAGCTTCCTCTCAGATAAAGCAGGAGCCTTTCTGGACACGTTCGGCAAGGTCGGGATTCAGGCCTGAGGTCAGGGCCCCTTCCCTTTCCTCCACAGAACCTCCTCAGTCCACCGTCCCCATCATGGCCCTCATTGTTGGCCTGGTTCTCTTGGTGGTCACTGGAGCCGTGGTGGCTGGAGCTGTGATCTGGAGGAAGAAGCACTCAGGTAGGGAAGGGAGGGAGGGATCTGAGGTTTCTTGTCTCACTGGGGGGTTCAAGCCCAGGTAGATGTTTGCCTGCTTCATTACTGGAAAGTACCCTACACACACATGTGGAATATGGAGCTGAGTGCTAACACTTACCCTTTCGTAAAGTACATATGAAAATGAAAGACAGATTTTTCACCTTCATAATTCCAGTTGAGGGCCTGTTTCTCAGCACTTGAAGGTCAGAGGGGGAAGGTCCCGCTAAGGGCAGACTCCCAGGAGGGCAGCTGGTCCACTCCCCCCATATCTCCTTTCTTCATGTTCCTGATCCTGTCCTGGATTTTTGGTTACAGTTCCGGAAAATTCTCTGCAGTCCAGGACAAGGGGGTTCCTCTAGGATCTCAGCTCAGTCTTCTCCCTGGCCTCTCACGTGAGGTTTTCTTCTTACAGGTGAAAAAGGAGGGAGCTACGCTCAGGCTGCAAGTAAGTGTGGAGGGGCTGTGATTCCTGAGACCCTTGTGAGGGTGCAGACAAGAGGCCATGGTGGGGGGCTCACCCTCCTAAAGTTCCTTCTCTAGTTTCTCTTCTGTGGGTTCTGACCACGTCCTGGTTTTGTTCTCCCCCAGGCAGCGACAGTGCCCAGGGCTCTGATGTGTCTTTCACGGATCCTAAAGGTGAGACTCTGGAGGGCCTGACTGGGAGAGGTGTTGGGGCGGAGGAAATGCCCCGGGTGGTGGGGAGCTTTGAATGGGACATTTGAGCATGTGAGGGGCTGTTGGGAAGGTCAGCACTTACATGACTGACCTGAATTTGTTCATGATTATTTTCTTTCACAGTGTGAGGCAGCAGCCTCGTGGGGACTGAGTGATGCACGGTTCCACTATGTGGCTTCAGATCCTGTGACTCCTCTTTCTGCAGCTGCATCTGAATGTGTCTGTGTTCCTGGTAGCATAATGTGAGGAAGTGGGGAGACTGGCCCACCCCTGCCCACCACGACTCCTCCCCACCCTGACCTGTGTTCCTGTTCCAGCAGAGGCAGGGCTGGGCCACCTCCATCCCTGTCTTAACTTCGTGGTGCACTGAATAACAATGTCTTAACTTGCCTGTTGGGAATAAAATCTGTATATGAATTTTGTTTTTTCTAATTCCTGCCATGAGGGGTTGATGGGATAATAAGGAGAGGATTCCTGAAGTTTGAGAGAGGAAATAAATGGAAGCACTGAGACCCTTCCAGAATCCGTGTGCTTGCTGTGCTCTGTCTGCTGCAGGTGGGACAGGAGGAGGCTGTGAGGAGCTGAGCGTGGACGCGGCCTGTGCCCATTCCGTGCTCACTGCATCTTGGGCTTTGAGGTGGTCACTCCTGGTCACATCTTCTCAGCTCTTTTGTCCTTGTCTCTTCAGAACTTTGTCCCACCAGCAGCTGTGATCTCAGAAGAAGTCACCAGGTGAGCCTCGGCTCAGGCCTGTGTCCAGTCCTCAGCCCCTATCTTTTGGGTGTTATTTGTTGTTTCTTTGTTTCTTTAGAGGTTCTTGCCTGAGTTTGTGTTTTATTCTCCTCTGGGTGTCCCCCACCTCTGACAGCTGGAGGAGTCGTTTGGCCTGTCGTGGTCCCCACAAGGCCCAAGGCTGCCCCTGCACACAGGAGAGTCTGTGGTGTCCAGAGGTGGATTTTCAGATTCATCCAGCTCTTGCCCTTTGTCTAGGGTTTGATTGTTCTTTCCATATTTCCCCCAACCTTCTCAAAGGATCCAGATTCTGGAATTAGCAGAAAGGCGGGAAACCATAATGTCTCGTCTTAGGTAAGTTCCTGTCGGAATTCTGCTCTGCTCGCCTACCCACTCTCCCTGCCCTTAGCTCTAGTAATCCCAGTGCTGGCTCCAGTACAAACTCATGGATTTATAAAGCAGAGTCTAGGACTTCCCTGGTGGTCCGTTAGTTAAGATGCTGCTCTTCCACTGCAGGGGGCTTGGGTTTGATCCCTGGTCAGGGAAGTTCCACACCCTGTGTGGCCAAAAAAAAGAAGAAAAAAAAAAAAAGTAAAGCAGAGTCTAATTTAGGTTTATATTTGGTTGGAAAATAGGACCCATAAGTCAAGGGTCATTGTTTTCTGAAAAGAAAAATATACTTGTGTGAGGCAGTGCGGAGGAGGGTTGGTTGGTGGGAAGGGGAGAACAGCACTTGTGAGAAAAACACCGGCAGCACTGACGTCAATGTGAGTAGATGTTGTTCTGTAGCTGCCACAAAACAGCATTTGGCCTGAGGTCACATTAGTAAAGATACTGTCTCTAGAATAGGGAGGTGCTTTACATTGAACATTCACTCAACTGATACAGTTGTGTGCCAGATATATGACACAGTATTTTGCATCTGGGAAACATTGAAGTAAAAACAGAAAAATTGCTGGCCTTGTGGAGCATGTATTCTAGTGGGAAGAGACAGACTATGTGCCATCAGCATAGTAAATAAGGAAAGTGTTCTGTTACAAGGGGATACGTACAGTGGAAAAGATGCAGTGGAGAAGGTGATCCAGAGTGTGAGTACGGGGACAGGGAAAATGGGTGTTTTACTAGGGTGGTCAGGGAGGTCCTCACTGGGAAGGTGACCTTGGAGGAAAGATTTGAAGGACATGAGGAATTATCCCTGAGGATGTCTGGAGGAGGTTCTTTCCAGGCAGAGGGAACCTCCAGGCAAATGCACCAGGGGAGGAGCATGTCTGTGTGTCCCAGTTAAAGTGAGGAGGCCAGTATGGCAGGAGCAGAGATTAATTGAGATGAGATCAGAGGTACAGCCAGACCATGTAAGGCCTGGAGGATGCTGGAAGGGTTTTGACGTTTGCTCTGAGGGAGATGGGAGTTAGAAGATAGTTTTGAGCAGAAGAGGGAGATGGTATGACTTCTTGATTTTTTTTTTAATATTTTTATTTTATTGGAGTATAGTTGATTTACAGTATTGTGTTAGTTTCAAGTGTACAGCAAAGTGATTCAGTTATACATGTACATATATTCTTTCTTTTTTAGATTCTTTTCTCTTATAGGTTATCACAGAATATTGAACAGAGTTCCCTGTGCTATACAGTAGGTCCTTGTTGGTTATCTATCTCATACATAGTAGTGTGTGTGTGTTCATCCCAAGCTCCTGATTTATCCCTCTCCCCCACGTTTCCCTTTTGGTAACTGTAAGTTTGTTTTTTGTTTTTTTTTTTTAAAGAAGATGTTGGGGGTAGGAGTTTATTAATTAATTAATTAATTTTTGCTGTGTTGGGTCTTCGTTTCTGTGCGAGGGCTTTCTCTAGTTGTGGCAAGTGGGGGCCACTCTTCATCGCGGTGCGCGGGCCTATCACTATCGCAGCCTCTCTTGTTGCGGAGCACAGGCTCCACACATGCAGGCTTAGTAGTTGTGGCTCACGGGCCTAGTTGCTCCGCAGCATGTGGGATCCTCCCAGATCAGGGCTCAAACCTGTGTCCCCTGCATTAGCAGGCAGATTCTCAACCACTGCACCACCAGGGAAGCCCTGTAAGTTTGTTTTGATATCTGTAAGTCTGTTTCTCTTTTGTAAATAAGTTCATTTGTATCTTTTTTTAAAATTAGATTCCACATATTAGTGATATCATATGATATTTGTCTTTCTCTGTCTCACTTACTTCACTTAGTATGATAATCTCTAGGGCCATCCATGCTGCTGAAAATGACATTACTTTACTCTTTTTTATGGCTGAGTATATTCCATTGGACTTCACCTTTAAAAGCATCACTTTGGGGCTTCCCTGGTGGCGCAGTGGTTGGGAGTCCACCTGCCGATGCGGCGGACACGGGTTCGTGTCCCGGTCTGGGGGGATCCCACATGCCGCGGAGCAACTAAACCCGTGCGCCACAACTACTGAGCCCGCGCCCCTAGAGCCCATGCTCCACAACAAGAGAAGCCACCACGAGAAGCCCGCGCACCTCAAGGAAGAGTAGCCCCCGCTCTCAGCAACTAGAGAAAGCTCGCGTGCAGCAACAAAGACCCAACGCAGCCAAAAATAAGTAAATAAATAAATAGTATCAGTTGAGGATTTATAAGAAGAAAACCAAGTAAAATACTGAATTGAAATAGTTATTTTAAAAAGAGAAAATAGGCAAAATTAAGAACAAAACATAGTTGTCTGAGATATGTCACTGCAGACAAAGGAGAGATTTAAACAATCTTAAAACTGAAGAAATTTATGTCAATGGAAAAGACTTAGTACAAGTCAATAAGTTAAAGCAGTTATAAAAATTGTTTCCCTTCAACCTTATCCAGAATGTTTTAGAGATTAAGTCCTACCAAACCTTCAAGGAAACCTAATGATCTATATAAAATATTCAAGAGGAAAAAGAAATATAGGTTGTATGTAAAGTATGCCCCAACCAAGTTGGTTTTAAAACTATTATCCTCTTTGGAACCTGCACTTTGGTTAGGTAAACAAAACAAACAAAACACCTTGTTCTTGTTGCTAAGAGCTACACGCTGCACATCTGGAGGTGAGGAATCCTAAGGTTTGCAACTTGCTCTCAGGTAGTGCAGCAATAACGATGATAGCCATCTTTTATGTATTCAGAGAGAGATCAAACAGTTATGGTAAAATTTTAATAAATGACAGAACTAAATATAAGTTAGAAATAATAAAAATATATTTTAAAATTTATTTCCCCTGTAGATTTTCCCACCCTTTTTCATCTTCTCTCTTCCTTTCTTCAACCCTTTCTCCCTTCCTGCCCTCCTTTTCCCGGTCTCTTCTTTGCATCTTGTCCCCTGCACATTCGAGCCCCACGGTGAACACAGGTGACTCTGTCCACCTCAGGCCAGATGCGGGCGGACAGGGGAGTGGGTGCTCGCCTGAGCAGTTTGTAAGCTGTGCCTGGACCCGCTGTTACTGTGTCCTTTAGTGAAGTCACTCCAGTCTTTGAAGGAAGTCACACCGGCTCTAAATTATGTTCCCCACAGAAGAAGGAACATTCTCGGTGGGTATTTCCTAGATCCTTAGGGGGCCGTCTGCTTCCTGGTTTTTGGTTCTTAGAATCTAACAGCGGGGGGCCCAGGGCGGGGCGGGGCGGGGCTGGAAGAAGCATTTCCCTATTCACACGCCTCAGAATCAACCAAGACCTTGTTTAAAATAAGTCGGATTCCAGATCCCCCTCCGGATCTACCAACTCGGAATTTCCGAGGACCACATAGGTCTTCATTTTCTCAAGCGGCAGTTTGAGAACCAGAAACCTAAATGCAGCTCTCTCCCCTCCCAGCCTGCACATAAGTTCCTTTATTCTGCTTTTAAATCCGTGGACGACTTTTATTTCCTTCAGCCCAGGGTTTGGGGGACGGGTGATTTCCAGTCCTCACTGTAAACTCTGGCCCAGCAGAGAAAACTTTAGGGCCCTCCTGCGAGCCCCGCCTTGGGTTCTGCGAGCATCCGCGCTGGGTGGTTTAGGTTCCTTTTCCGGACCCAGCAGTGGCGCCAGAGGTCTGCAGAGAGAAAGATGCCGCTGTGCGGGTGAGTCCAGGGGTACAAAGGTGAGAGTAGAGGGAGAAAACGTCTTTCATGGGGCAGAGCAGAGGGGGCTGGAAGCAGGGTGGGGTGGAGGGAACACACTTTGTACAAAAGACAACCTGGGAAGCTTGGGCGGGGGGCCGGTGTGTTGGGGGGCGAGGCAGCCAAATCTAGATCCAGGGAGCAACCCTGACCCTGAGCCCTATACCATCAGGGCCTCTTCCACCCCCAGAATGAGTAGGATTGGCTTTATCTCTAGTTACAATCATCTCCAAATGCTGTGCAACAAACCTAGCATATTAGCGTTAAAGTATTAAAAGTCTTTTGGGAGGGTGGGGGTGAGCTGAATGAGACGGTTTGCTGGATTTGCACACCTAAGAAGTCCTCTAAGGAGTTGACATCATGGAGGAAAGGGCTTGGGCCCAGCTGTCAGGAGAGCTGGGTTCCGCCTGCCTCTCTGCATCTCACTATTCTTGCTATCTTTAGAAGTGAAAAGATTCTCTCTGAGAATGAGCAGGACCCAATCCCTGAATGGCTAAATAAATTATGATGCTCAAAGTAATTAATAAAAATGGATGTGAAATCTAAGAAATGGTTAAAACTTTGTGATGCATGAGATTTCCAGCCACAGAAAAAGTGTAGGGTAGGGGTCTTAGTGGAATGGCTAGTAGTGACAGGCGGAGTTCAATGTGAGAAAGCATTTGCAGGGGAGACAAAGATGAAATGAACACAGTTCCTGCTACTGGAGTGGCTCATTGTCTAACGGGAGGAGTGTAAGATGGTAAGATAGGGTTCAAGGGAGGGCACACCTGGTACCATCAGGGAGGTTCAAACCATGGCCTAGACCAGTGGTTCTAAAATTTGCCAATACATTGGAATCACCAAGGGAGCTTTAAAAGATATGAAGGTCTAAGTCCAACCCCAGGGATACTAATTCAATTGGTTTGGGCCACTGCCTGAACATACAGACAGTGAAAACTCTCCAGCTGGTTTTAATAAGCAGCTGAGTTTGAGGACCATGGTGTAGGTATTCCAGAGACTAAGAGAGGAGTGCTGGGGATAAGTCACAGCTTTCAGTAGAAGGAGGCCTTCAGGACGGCATTATTGTTATTACAGTATTATTGAAGTATAATTCATATATCACATAATTCACCCTTTTAAAGTTACAGTTAAGTGGTGTTTAGTATAATCCAGAGGTTGTGCCACCAATCCCACTATGTAAAAGAGATCTTTTAGGATGTGCAGTTCTGATGGGCTGGAAGGCAGAGGAGAGTAATCCATAAGAGGGGAATGTGTAAGCAGTGGCATCCTGATAGGACAGGGTAAGGAAATGGGGGGAGCCCACTTTTACTGCAACCCAGGGGAGATGTCACCAGAGAAGTGGAAGATGATGCCAGACAGCTGGTTGTGGCAACTGCAGGCTTTGATGGTGGAGTAGAGACCTTATGTGTTAATTCTGCAGATGGGGCAGCTGTGGATGGCTGGGGCCTTATGGTTATAACTGGCGACAGGCAGGTGTTTAGGAAGCCTTTGCAGTTCTCTAGGCTGAGGTAGATGAAAGCCTGGACTAAGGTAGCTGCAGTGGGACTGAAAAGGGGTTGGAGGAGCTGACTGTGAGCCCATGAGAGGCAGGGGAAAGGGGATCAGAAGGGACCAAGCTGGTGATGCTTAAAGAGAACTTGGGGGAGAGAGGCTGGTGTGCAGGGAGAGGGCTAGAGTTTGCCTGTACATCTGTTGGGTTTGAGGGGCAGATGGGCCCAGAGGCACAGTTGTCCTGAGGCAGGTTGGAAAGGGAGTTGGGAGAGGTTGGTGTTGGGGTCGATCGTGGGGAGCCACCTCATTGGGCCTGAATCAAGAGGCTGCCTTGGGAGAGTGTGGACACCTATAGGCAGAGGCCACAGGAAAAGACACATGGCTCCGTCTTGGAGTCAGTGGGAGGAGAAGATTATAATGGTGGAAACATCTAGAAGAGTTTGAACTCTGGGGAAGAGTCCTTCATCTGGGCAAGTGGCTTCTGAGAGGCAGAGCTGCTGAAATCTGCAAATCTGGTCTCAGCGGACTGTTGCCAGTACCTCTGCTGTGCAAGGTGGAGGGAGGGGGTTATGGTAGAGAAGTTGTGCCTGAAGGAAGAAGCCCTGAAAGGCCGGAAACGTGGGGTGTCTCTGAAGCAGCCTTGTGAGACCTTCCCTGTCGCGGGCGGGGAGTCTTTTTGCAGAGGAGGGAGGCGGTGATCTGGGCGCTTCTGGTGGGGGGGGCGCCCTAACTCTCTGCTGCTCAGAGCCTGTCCCTTCGGCATTTGTCTGCACTTACCCTCCGTCTCACCTTCCTGGGGATCCTAAGGCTTTTCTGGCCTCCAGGCTTTTCTAGGCAGCGGAAGCGGCCGGATGGCGGTCCCCGCTCGGAGGAGGGAGGACTGGGACGGGGACGGGGCGGGGGCGGGGCCAAGTTTTTAAAGCTCCGTGCGGGCCGTCTCCGCTGCCAGTGCGCCGCCGCTGCCCAGCTCAGTGCCGCCCGCTCGCCTGCTGTCCCGGGGCCTCTGGGAGGTTGACAAGGTCTGGGCCATGGCGCTACTCCTTGTCCTGCCGTTTCTAGCCAGTGCTGCCCTTTCTGTGCTCCCGGCTACCGCCGCTGGTGAGTGGCGTTCATTGAGGTCCTCAGCCGGGAGCCTGGGGCGGTTTCAGGGTCCGGGTGGGATTCGGTGAGCGTCGCGGGGACTGTCTCACTTGCGGTGCAGCGGGGTGGGGAGTGGGGGCGGGGGAGTGGGGGGAGTCGGGGGCGGGGTGAGGCCGGGGAGGGGCCGGGAGCGGCTCGCGGCCTGTGGCCACCAAATAACGTTCCGGCTTTTCAGTCTCTTTCCGACTCCCACCCTCTGCTGCCCCTGCTGCACCCGCCCTCCCTGCTTTCCTCTTCCTCACACATCCGCGTCCTCTGACTGCCCTGGGTGGGAAGGCTGCCCCCAAGCCCGGGTTGCTCCCGTCAGAGGCGATCAAGGGCTCTTGGAGGTCCGACGCTCAGGCGGCCACTTCCCACCGGTGTGCGGGACGCCCTCTTAGGCCCCTGAGCGCTGTCCTCTCCTCCTGTTCTCAGCTCTGCCCTCTTCCCGTTTCTGGCCTCGGGAATCAGGGGGCTTCCAGGCAGGCAGCGCTCAAGGGCCTCAGGCCTTGGAGTTGAGGGTCTCTTTCTAGTGACTGGAGCTCTAGGAAGGGCCCAAGGGCCCTGAACCACACTTCCTACTGCTGTGGGCACCGTGGCCGATCCTGGCTTTCACTGAGGGAAGCGACAAAAAATGTTTTCCCATATTCAGATACAGGTAAGTTATCCTGTCTTATACATGAACTAAGTTGAATTTTGCACTAAGTAACTTGCCTCTTTGTGGCCTGTCAGACATACATTGTACATCTGCTTTAATTATTAAAGGAAACGGCACATTGACCAGAAGTAAAGAATCTCCATGTTAAAAATAAAGATTCAATGCCCCTCTTCTTGGGACTCCAACGCTAGTTCACCTTTGATGATAAGACTCCTTTCCCAGGCGCCAAGGCCACACTGTATGTGCTGCACGTGTATGTGCTGCAGCCCTGACTTGTTTAATGTTCTTTGTTCTGACAAGATATAAAAGCCTGTGCTGTGCTGAAAACCCTGCTGGTTCAGGGCTAGTCCTTAGTTTGGCTCAAATAAAACTCTTTTCTATTCTTATTATAGATTGTTTATTGATTAATTTCATTGACAGAGTGAATCTGATGGCTTTGGGGCCTAGATTCTTCCTGTGGTTTCTATGGTCTCTACTCCCTCCCTCCTCCCTTACTTCCCCCCTCCCCCACTCATGTTCACTCTAATTTTCTGCTGTGCCCACGTACCCACCCCTGATTCTCTCCTTGCCTCCTCCCCTGCCATCTCTTGCGCCCCCTCAGGATTTGTCCTGCCCCTTCCTGCTGTCCCCTCCTCTCTACAGTTCTCTGATCCCTTCCTAGGGCGTCCTCACCCTCATCCCCATTCCCACCACAGGTCCCTCTCTTCCCCTCATGGGTCTTGACCTGCAAGGACCAGACACCCGCATGGCTCCTACCACCCCCCAGCTTTCACTAACCTTACATTTCTGGGGATGACTTTTGCCCAGGGGGACTTCCCTCCCTCATCACTACCCTATTTTCATCACCAGGGGGAGCTCTGCTGCTAATGATAACTGGGCCTTGAGCACAGTGCACAGCCCCTGTGGGATGACCTGTCCCCTGGTCTTGGCACCCATCCTCCTACCTCCACCCCAGTGCAGGCACCTGCTCTTGGCCCTCGTTCAGAGTGGGCCTTTCCCCCAGCACTGCCCCTTCCCCACTCCTGCATCCTAAACCTCACCCTCTTGAGACCTCCACTCTCTAGGCCTCAGGTGCTGGACTCCACTTGCCCTGGTCCCTCTGCACCTACCCTCATGGCACGTTGCCCAGCTTCCACTCCTTGCCTGAGTGCCTGGGGCCATCGCCACGTTCTCATCAATCACAAGCCTCCTCCCAGGAATCACTACCCCATCCTCACCCTCAACCAGAGCACCCCTCCTCTCCTGTCTTCACCCTAACCCAAGGTCCCCCAGAGTGACCCCTGAGGCATGCTCATCCCCTGCCCCCCAATCCACCCTCACCACTGTCTCCTCTGCAGCCCCTTGCCCTTCCTCCCTCCCCAATAGGAATACTACCCTTGGTCCAACTGCCCACCTCCTTGGCCTTCATCACCCTCTCTTGGGTTCACTGACCCCAGTGGGCTCTCACTACCTCAACCATGTATCCAAAATCCTTGTTGATGCCACTTGGTCAGTTGGCCTTTCCCTACAGGGGGTCTTCCCCCAGGCCCGCCCTCCTGTGCTGCCTGCCTGACCCACACCCTCTGTGGAGGTGTGACCTGCCCCCAACCACTCCCACCATGCAGGTCCCTCCCAACGTGCACCTTGGCTTTTCAGTTCTATTTTCTCTTGCCAACCCTCCTAATTCTCCATGACCCTTGGGCACATGGCACTGACTCAGGCCCCCAACACCCACCTCTCCCAGGGGACACTGGCAGGTCCAGCCACCTCCCCACCTGGGGCCTCACCATGCCTCTTGCACTCTGGGCCCAGACCCACTGCTTTACCTCCACCAGGGGTACTGGCCCACCTTCCACTCTCTTAGGGCCACAGCCCAGCCCCTCAGGCCCCTCTGCCTCGTGCCTCACCCTCCCTTGAGCCCACCTTGTCCATGATGAGCCTGCCCCACGGGCAGCAGCCCTCGCTCTCCATCTCACCTGACCCGCCTCTGACCAGGGATGCCTCTGATCCTGGGCCTGACACTGCCCCTCCCTCCCCTCTGACTCCACCTCCCCTCACCCTGGTCTTCCTGCCTCTCCCTTGCCCCCTGCAGGCCAGCCTCTCCCCTTGGCCTCCTGCCTGGACCCTTAGGGAGCCGGTGCCTCCCTGTCCTGGCACTTGTCCTGCTTGTTTGCCCATCTCCACCCCTCCCTCCACTCCTCAATTCCCCTCTCCTTCCCTTCTCTTTTTCTTCTTTCCCCTGTGTTGGAAAAATTCTCATTGTGGTCCCTTGTACATGTGCATGTTCTGCATCCTCAGTCCTGGAGCAGGTCAGGACAGCAGAACTTGTCTGGTAAATATTTGATGTGCACTTGTTTCCGGAAAGCTCTTTCATCTGCGGTTCCCCCTTCCCCAGGATCACACAGTCTTCATTACAACCTCACGGCGCTGTCCCGGGATGGATCTGTGCAGTCCAGCTTTTTCGCTGGGGGACACTTGGATGGCCAGGCCTTCCTGCACTATGACCGTGAGACAGGCAGGTAGAACCCTGGGGGCTGTGGGCAGAAGAGCTGGGAGCTGAGACGTGGGACACAGAGTCCAAGGACTTGACAGAGACGTGGAAGGACCTCAGAGAGCTTCTAGCAGAAATCCTTGCCCTGCAGGAGGAGAAAGGAGGTGAGAGTGGGGAGGGTCCGAGAGTGCTGGGAGGCCTTTCACTGGATTTGGGGGCAGGGGCCAGAGGATAGGGGTCTGTGAGTTCAGCAGGGGGGTGGCCATGACTCAGCAGCCCTGGGAAGACATGAGGGGAGCAGGGAGGGGGCCCTCTGGCTGGAGTTTCTCACTTGGGTGTGAGGACAGAGGGACACGGGGACTGGAGGAGTCACTGCTGGTGGGGTGGGATGCAGGTGTGAATTCCCTCCAGGAGATCTGGGCTGTGAAATCCGAGAAGACAACCACGCCTGGGGCTTCAGGTTTCGCTACTATGATGGGGAGCTCCTCCTCTCCTGTCACCCAGAGACCCACGGATGTACAGCGCCCCAGTCCTTGGCTCGGAACTTGGCCATGGAAATGGAGAAGTCCTGGGACACAGATGGCTTTCAAAGCAAGTGTTACCAGGCCCACATGCAGGGAGAGCTTTGTGGAAGACTGCGGGGCTATTTGGAATCCTGGACAGGCTTCAGGGAGATAACAGGTACTGCTCCTGGGCCAGGGCCCTTCCTCTCCCCCAGACCCCTAGAGCCTCCCCGCCGTGACTCTGCACACGGAGACCCTCCCTGTCCTCTGGGTACATATATGCTCTGCTGGCGTGGTGTCCTGCAATTTAATGCCATCCTGAAAGCCTCCTTCTGAAAGCTGTGCCTTATCCCCAACACACATCTCTTGGTCTTTGGAATACCTACGCCATGGTCCTTAAACCTGATTGCTTATAGAACCACCTGGGGAGTTTTTACTATCCATATGTCTAGGCCATGGCCAAAACCAACTGAATCAGTATCCCTTGGGTTGAACCTAGGGCTTCATATCTTTTGAAGCCCCCTCAGCGATTCCAAATGTGTAGGCAAGCTTTAGAGTCACTGGTCTAGCCCTGCTTGAAACCTCCCGGATGGAACCAAGTGTGCCCTGCCTTGAGCCACATCTGACCATTTTATACTCCCCACATTAGAAAATGAGCCACTTTAGGATCAGGAACTGTGTTCATTTCATCTTTGTCTCCCTGCAAATGCTTTTTTTAAAGTTGTACTCTGCCTCTCATTAGTAACCATTCCACTAAGATCCTTTTCCAATACTTTTCCTGTGGATGGAAATGTCATGCCTCGGGAAGTTTTAACAATTTCTTAGATTTCACATCATTTTTATTAATTAATTACTTTGACCATCATAATTTATTTAGCAGGTCAGGGATTGGGTCCTGTCCCATCTCAGAGAGCTTCTTTTCATTGCGAAAGGTCACAAGGGTAGTGAAAGTATAGAGGCAGATGGAACCCAGCTCTCCTGACAAGCCCTTTCCTCCAAGACCATCGTCCTTCGAAGACTTGATAGGTGTGGCAGCTCCAGCAAACGGTCTCATTCGAGTCGCAACCCCTCTCCCCCCAAAAAGACTTTTAATACTAATACTAATATGTTAGGTTTGTCTCACAGCATTTAGAGATGACTGCAATGAGAGATAAAGCCAACTACTCTTCGTGAGAGGTACGACTCCAGATTTGGGGTGCTCTCCCGGATTTGGGCGTGGCTGTCCCTCCCCCATCAAGCGTCGCAGCTAGTCTCTTGTACAAAGTATTTTCCCTGCACGCCACGCTGCCTCCAGCCTCCCCTGCTCTGCCCTATAAACTACCTGTTCTCCCTCCACTCTCCCTTTTGTACCCCTGGACTCACCGGCACACTGGCATCTTTCTCTGCGCAGACCTCTCGCACTGCTGCTGGGTCCCGAAAGGAAACCGAAAGCAGCCTGCGCGGATGCTTGCCTAACCCGAGGCGCGGCCCCGCTGCACCCTCAGAAGATCAACCAACCCCTAACTCTGGTTTAAAGGAAATAGAAGTTGTTCGTGGATATAAAAGCAGAATAAAGGCTCTTATGGGCAGGTTGGGACAGGAGTGAGCTGCATTCAGGCTTCTGGTCCTCACACTGCTCGGCAATTACATCTGCAGGCTGCGAAAATGCAGACCTGCTTGGGTCCGCGGAAATTCCGAGTCGGTAGGTCTGACGAGAGATGTGGAATTCGATTTATTTTAAACCGCCCCTGGATTGATCCTGAGTTCGGAGCTGCTGCTTCCAGCCCACCCCGCTGCGGGGCCCACCGTTAGATTCTAGGATCTAAGTACACTTCTACAGCCTCGCGTCGCCCCCAGGAAGGAAAGCGCCCGCTGCGGAACTGGCCTTTAAATCCGGTCCTTCCTGCCCGAATGAAAAGCAGAGATCCAGAAAACAAAAACAAAAAACCACCGAGGTTCTGCCACGTTCAGGGAGGAAACTACTTTAGACCCAGTGTGACTTCCTTCAAAGACTGGGGTGACTGCCTGAAATGATACGATAACAGTGGAGCTGGGCAACGCTTCATCATTTACAAAACGCCCGGGTGAGCATCGACTTGGGCGTCGGTACCAGACCGGTGGAGGTGAGTCAGGTGTGTTCGTGTGTTTGAATATGCAGGGGATAAGCCCTAAAGGAGAGAGTGGAAAAAGCAGGGAGGAAGGGAAGGGGGAAAGGGTTGAAGAAAGGAAAAGAGAAGAAAAAGGGAGAAAAAAGCTACGGGGAAATAAACTTTTAGCGATGTAATTTTATGATTTCTAACGTTTATTTTTATTCTTTATCTAGTTCTGTCATTTATTCAAGGTTTGCTATAGCTGTTTGATCTCTCTCTGAATGCATAAATAGACGGCTATTACTGTTATTGCCGAACCACTGGAGAGTAAGTTGCGCACAGCAGGACTCCTCACCTCCAGATGTGCAGCGTGTAGCTCTTAGCAACAAGAACAAGGTGTTTTGTTTGTTTTGCTTACCTAGCCAAAGTACAGGTTCCAAAGAGGATAATATTTTGAAAATCAACTTTGAAGGGACATACTTTATATACAATTTAATGCATCTATTTGAAATGCACAGCTGGTTTGAGCTTTGGCAATTTACGCCCCCATGTCACCATTACCACAGTAAAGATGTAGAACATTTCCACTGTCCCCAAAGAAAAGCCTTGCGACATAATTCCATGCAGCCAATATAAGGAGTAAGATAGATTTTACTGTATTGCTATGAAAAGATGTGCCCAACACACTTTTAAGCTTCTCTAAAAGCTAGAGAACGTACTGAATTATAATGCCACTAACACCACTTACAAAATATATATCTTATTTATTTTAAAATTTATTTTTATTTACTTGGTTGCACCCGATCTTAGTTGCAGCATGCGAACTCTTAGTTGTGACATGTTGAATCTGGTTCCCTGACCAGGGATGGAACTCGGGCCTCCTGCATTGGGAGTTCGGAGTCTTACCCACTGGACCACCAGGGAAGTCCCCAAAATATATATTTTAAATAGATGAAACCCTGGAAGATTGCTCACCGAAGTTCTGACAGTGGTATCTCCAGGGAGTGAGATAATTCGTGGCTTAAAATTTATCTGAAATGTTGGAATCTTCTTTTAGTGTAAATTTGGATTTATATTGTGTAGGGGGTCAGGGAGTGAATATTTCCACTTAAAAATATCATGACACTAAGCCCCAAAGTCAATAAGTTGCAGATTTTTAAACACCAAAATGTTAACTTAAATCCAACACCAGAAACTGTATTTTGGGATAATCCTGCACACTTTCATAGCCCTGAATCTTTCAAAGTGCTTTGCAAAGGGATGTTTTTAGTGGAGTACACGGAATATAAACAAACATTTATGAGAGGCTCGGACTCTAATAAAAAGAAGCGCAAATCAGTGGGGACACAAGGGATCCCGTCACATTTATCCTCAACCCACGTTCCAAACCCGCGGTGCCATAGCGTCCTCCAGCCGAGAAAAGGTCGGGGCAAACCTTATTCCTCGAGCCTCGATTTGTCCTTGAGAAAAGATAAAGGCTTTCAGAGCGAGTCTGAGGAACAAGACACTGACTTCCTTTTTTTTTTTTTTTTGACACTGACTTTCTGATGTAAAGTTTCAAAAATGCTGGGCAATGGCAGTGTCTCCGTCAGAGCATCCAACCCATGTGGGCGATGCTCGCTCTGGCTCTCGGGTTTGCAGTGGCTCAAGGAGAGGACGCAGAGAAACTGAGAATTCCCTGGCGGTCCAGTGGTTAGGACTACAACCTCTCACTGCCGAGGGCCTGGGTTCAATCCCGGTGGGGGAAGTAAGATCCTGCAAGAAGCGCGGTGCGGCCAAAAATGGAAGGAAGGAAGGAAGGGAGGGAGGGAGGGAGGGAGGGAGGAAGGAAAGGAAGGAAGGAAGGAAGGAAGGGAGGGAGGGAGGGAGGGAGGGAGGGAGGGTTAGGATGGTGGCGGGGAGGCAAGGAAACTCAGACAATAACTGGAGAGGAAGAAAGCGTGGTAGGGAGGACCCAAAGCCTCCACACCCGTCCCTGCTCCCCTTCCTGTTGGTGTTGGAGGGGACAACGCAGTCCTGGGAGGCACAGCTGGAGCAGACACTTGGGTTGCTCCTAGCAATTTCTGATGAGCTTAAACTGGGAGGAGACTGTAACTTTTTTCCTTTGAAAAGCAGGCTCCTAAAATGGTACTGACAAAGTGGTTTGCAGGGCAGAAATAGAGACACAGATGTAGAGAACAAACGTATGGACACCAAGGGGGGAAAGTGGGGTGGGTGGTGGTGGGATGAATTGGGAGATTGGGATTGACATATATACACTAATATGTATAAAATAGATAACTAATAAGAACCTGCAGTATAAAAAATAAATGAAAAAAAATTCAATAAAAGAAAAGTAGGCACCTAATCTCCCACTCTGATGGGTTTACCAATTCATCCTGACGGAACACAAGAACAAAACAAAGTCAAATGCTGATCTTTCTGGCCAACAGAAGGTCTGCGCTCTCCCCATTCCTCACTTGCCTTAGGACTCCACACAGTGAACTGCTGGGCTCCAGACCTGCTGCCCTCAGGCCAGCCCCCTCTCCTGCCAGACTCTGCCTCTCGTCCAGCTGCACTCGGCTTTGTCTCTACTCTCCTCATCCTTTTCCCTCCCCAGAACCATCCCTGAATATCTCTCACCCTTTTCAAAAGACTTCTCCTGGAGTACAAGCTCCTCTGAACCGCAGGAAAAAAGAGAGGCAAAGACCACTGAGAGAAACCCTGAAGGGCACCTGTGGCTCCGCCTCTAGACATCCCATACCACCCCCTCCAGCTCTCTCTCTGTGTAAATCTCGGGTACCCAAGTTGGGAACCACTGGTGTAAATGGAGAGTCAAAATTTAGGAAACCTTCCCACCTTGGCACTACATTCAAGACTTTGGTGTTATGGTCACATGTGCCTTTATTTCTGGATATGGGACAATGGCACTCATCAGATCAGCAGACTGCAAACACCCCCCCCCCAAAAAAAGGCTTAAAGCACTCTGCATTCGGGAGGAGGGTGAGATGCGGTGACCCTGTGACTCCAAGTCTACAGGTCACTCCTACACAAAGGGATACTGAAAAGCGGTGCAGGACAGTCCATTCCCTCCAGGGACTGGTCAGGGAAGTCAGAGCCACTGAGGGTGGATGTCAAATTCCCTCAAAGAAATACCATTGCAAGGAAACCTTTGTCACACTTTTAAGCCCACACAAATGCTCAAATAGAACCAACATCAGAAAACCAAAATCCTAGTTCAGATGACACCACTGAAGTTGGCTCTAAGGCTTTGTGGGACCCGTTAGGTAGAAAGAACAACTCTATTTAGGGCTATAGCTCAACAGCCCCTACATCTTGGGGCCCCCAGAAAGGACACTATCTCTTCAGCAGCACACAGTGGGGTCATTTCTGAGAAAAACTGTAAAATCTCCTTGAATTCCTGAGGTTCTTACATTTACTCAATGACTTTGTAGATGTTGATTTAAACTTTGAACATCTTGGAATTAATCTGCTTTACTCTAAGTATAGAACCGGAAGCAGGAAACAAGGGACTGACCCTGAGCTATGGCCCCACCCCGTGGCTCTTTTAGGCAATAATCATAAGAGATTTTGAGCCAGTGAAATCCATGACTAGGTAAACAGTAAACTCTCCATTTCAACAAATGTTTCAGATATTCCAGCTTGCCTAGTAATGTTCTAACTTGAACCCAGTCTCAACATTTAAAATTTATATTTTTATATTGCTTTTTAAATAATTCATGTATATTACACTGAGTTTGTTGCAGTAAGCCACGTGGAATCAAGTGTGGAATTAAGATAAGTAAATAAATGTGTGGTTCTTCATTGACTTACTGCTCACGCCATCTTTAAAATGTATCAACATTAAATCCAGTCACTTCTCACAGCTCTACTGCTTCCATCCTAGAACTGTCCTCCCCACAATAGTAAACAGGCTAGCCTTCCAGGTGGGCTCCCTGCTGGCTCTCATGCCCTGCTGTCTGTTACCCACGTAACAGATGACATGAATTTTTAAACTGAGTTAGACCACATCCTCACCACCACATCCCACAGAACACTGCAGCGTCTTCCTTTCGTAGGCAGAATGAAATCCCAGTCCCTCACCACTGCCTACAAGCCCCTTATGACAGGGACCCTCTGGCCACCCTGGCCTCAGCCCACCACTGGCAGCCCGGCTCACTCATCTACTCATATGGGCCTCTGACACTGCCCAGTCCTGTCCCAGGGCTCCTGTCCCTGCTGTGACTCCCCAAGTGCACCTCCTCCCCAGAGACTCACATGGGTGCTCCCTCCTCCATTCAGGTCCAGTGTCCCAAGGTCAAGTCCTCAGAAACATCATGTCCAACAAACTCTCTGAGATATTTGCCTTGCCATTGCCACCACCAATCTTCTAGCCCAGCCATATTTTTCTCCAGAGCAATTATCACTGATAGCAGAATAATTGCTTTTGTCATCTGTATCACTGAAATATATGTTCTTTAAAACAGGAACCTTGTCTACTTGTCACCACTTGTATCTCTAGCACATAGAACAGTCCCAGTACATAGTAGGGACTCAGTAAATATGGGTTGAATATAAGCTGGCATAGTGGTTTTGAAAAGCAATTTGAAAACATGTATGACAAGCCTTAAAAATGTTCATACTGGGCTTCCCTAGTGGTGCAGTGGTTGAGAGTCCGCCTGCCGATGCAGGGGACACGGGTTCGTGCCCCGGTCCGGGAAGATCCCACATCCCGCGGAGCGGCTGGGCCCGTGGGCCATGGCCACTGAGCCTGTGCTCTGCAGCAGGAGGCCACAATAGTGAGAGGCCCGTGTACCGCAAAAAAAAAAAAAAAACCAAAAAACTTCATACCATTTGACCCAGTAATTTCTATTCAACAAATCTATGATTTTAAAATAAAATATAGAAGGATATTTAGGTGTAAGAATTTTATTTTTTTAAATTTTTGGCCATGCCAGGTGGCTTGCAGGATCACGGTTCCCTGACCAGGGATTGAACCTGGGCCTCTGCAGTGAGAGCTCCAAATCCTAACCACCAGACCACTAGGGAACTCCCTAAGCATAAGAATATGAATCAGGGACTTCTTTGGTGGCGCAGTGGTTAAGAATCTGCCTGCCAATGCAAGGGACATGGGTTCTATCCCTGGTCCGGGAAGATCCCACATGCCATGGAGCAGCTAAGCCTGTGCACCACAACTACTGAGCCTGAGCT